GATAATGTATATGGGGGTTTAATCAATCGTAATTTATTTTTCTCTTGCCACTCGTGGTTGCTTTTAAATTGTCTGGGTGTATATGTATATTTATTACATATACGTCGTTTCTGCATGTGGCGTGTTTTCTCTGATTTTGGTTTTCGGGTCGGTGACGTAACCTGGAAGCGTCGCGCTACTATTTCGACCTATAAGCGGGATGCTCATGCTTCGTGGGGTACGGGGCGTGACATCTATCTGTTGGTTTTGGCTTGAAACCACCTGAATACCAACCTCGACCTCCACTTCGTGCATCATTAGAAGAAGAGCCTACAATTCTTGGATTGATGTTGCTGTTGCGTTGGTGGAATCCTCTTCCTCTCCCTCTACCATTATTCATTCTTGTTGCTGAAGAATGACGGAAATTAGTAGAGGTCTTCAAGGCTTGTTCTTCCGTATCTTGGTGTTGGAGCTTCTGTTCATGAACCAATAAAGAACCTTGCAGTTCATCAATTGAAAGTTCTTCAATATCCTTAGCTTCTTCTATGGCGCAGACAACAAAATTGAATTTTGGCGTCAAGGATCGAAGAATTTTTTCAACAATGGTGACATCCTCCGTCTTGTCACCGTGGATTCGCATCTTATTAACGATTGCCATCGTTCTTGAGAAATAATCTGTGACCGACTCCCCTGATTTCATTCGTAGCGTTTCGAACTCCGTACGAAGAGCTTGCAGTTGTTGCCTCTTTGCTCTTGCAGAGCCTTGATACTTCTTTTTCATAGAATCCCATATTTGCTTGGAAGTATCCTTGCAAAGGATTGTCTCCAAGACAGATCTGTCAATGGCCTGAAAGAGATAGTTCTTGGCTTTAAGATCTTTCAACCTAATTGCTTCTAGAGCCGTCCGCTCTGCTGCTGTCAACGTGGCTCCTTCTTCCGGTTCAGGAATTCCAGAAGAAACAACTTCCCAAAATTCTTTGGACCTTAGAAAATTTTCCATCAACATGCTCCAATGGTCATAATGACCATCAAAGCGAGGGATTGCCGGTTGGACAAAATTGGAATCTGTGGCCATGATTGCTGCTGCAAACAAAGTGTCAAGAAAAAAAAACTTTGCGGCAAGACTCTCTTTCCTCACGTGTTTAACTCTCAACACTCAACCCTCACTTTCTTTTTTGCTAACCTGGCTCTGATACCACTGATACAGTAAAAATGCAGAAGATGGCTGTGCTTTGCAAGCACCAAAAAGAAACCCAGAAAGGAGAGACACACTGGTTGAAGATGCTTACTGCATTCGTCCATCTTATTGAAATTAACAACTTAGCCGTTTTATAGGCTGTACATCAACAGAAGAGATCCCAACAAAAATAGCAACTACTTTGATTCAAAATGGTGAACGTGTGCAGCAACATGCTGCCAACTAAGTCCTGAAAACTAGGACCCACTAAGTAACAGAAACACACGACTAGCTATTAATTGAAAAACATAAAAAAACAACTTTGACTCTTTCTAACAAAGTCCGACTCTTCTTCCGCCGTTGCCAATTTCACTACTAGTTCCTTCGCTTCCAGTGAAACACGGGGACGCCGCCTCCTCGCCGCGGCTTCTGATACTATGGATTACTGCAGTCAAAAAGTAACTTTACCAGAGCTGCTGCTCCTTCTTCTATAATTATAGTTAAAAATGCAAAGGCAAGTTTAAAAGATCGATATACAAAATTATATGATAAACTGCAAACGGCTATTAACTAAGTTCAATAGTGTTTTGTGACTGATTAAGAGTCCAACCGTATCATTTATTACACTAATTTTCTATACAAGTCTTTGCACATCTCCAGCGTTAAGAGAGATCTGAAGACTACGGCAAATTGGTACGAAGCGAATATTTGGTGTAACTGTTTTTTCTTTCCTTCTTTTCAGGGGAAGGTGCCATTGTTGTCTGTTGAAGCAGTCCATCAGCTGGACATTTTCATATTTGTGCTGGCTACCTTTCACGTTGTCCTCTGTGTGCTCAAAGTAATACATATGGTGTGCCACGAACTCCTTGTCACTTCAACTCTATCTTTCTGCTACTTTCTGTTGCTTCTGCTTACGACTTTCCCTCCGATATTGTAAAAGAAAATATCGTATTTAAGTTTCGAAAGAAACATGAAAGTATTTGTATGTGATTCCACGTGGACATTGGTTGATATTTCAAAAGGCTTCTAAGTGTTTGAGTATCCCTTTTTGCGACTTTTCCAATTTTTACAAAAAGTTAAAGTTGAAAAGGAAAATTCGTCTAAATTAGAAAAATCACTAAAAAAAATTAAAGGTATCTCTTGGATCAATTTTTTAACGTTAGTTATTTTCGTCCTTCCATACTGTTTAGATACTGCAATGGAGCAATCTGGAGATATATGACACAAGGAGCAAAAATTATGACATCCAAAAAGGTGGTAACGTTGTTGAGTGCATCCTCCTCAAGCAATGCTGTAAAAAGGAGGAGAAGATGAATGATCTCACTCCCTCAAAATTCTTGTGCAGTCTCCATTTTTATTTTCTAATCTGATGGAGAGGTATGTCTATTCTGTGTGAATCTGCAGTACTCACAAAGATTCGGGAACATTATAACAGCCGACTTTACTTCTTCAGAACTTTGGTAAGTCATTGAGTCTCTTGAAGCTCCCCGCGAGTGCAAAAGAGTCTTGCGAAATCAAGCATATCTTTGCGACCTCAACTATCATCCAATTTTCAAAATATTCCGCAGTATAATTTTATTGGATCATACTAAACTTCAACGTTAGTTATGTAGATTTTTATGATTTTCTCTTTTCGGATATTTCAACTATCCATCTCTGTTCACGAACACAGTATGTATGTTTAAATGTATTAAGTTAAGGGTGTTTAGAAACTTGGAATGAGCAATATACTTGCTACAATTGTTATGGAATGCGATATTTATGATTACCTGGAAGGAAGAGTTGTTTGACGATAGGCCCAACATTGTCTTGCATTTTGCTCTTCAGCTCTTGCCAAGTCTGCAGAAAGCGTATACTTCTTTGACCGTGTATGAGTATATGGCCCTTCGTCAGAACTTCATCGCGGTACATAGAGGACATTCTTCAGCTGAAATTTTAGCTTTGGTCCTCGTTGTGATATAATTGGCCTTGAAATGGTTAATTTACTTGTCATTTCTGTCGTGTCCGCAGGCACGTGATCCCAAGGATTCAGGGAAAGGTTTTCAGAAGTACATAATGAAGACTTTGCGAAAGGATTTTGAGAAAATGATGGTAATCAGGTAAAACGATAACCCTTCATACAAAGCTATTTAATTAGGCCTGGTGAGCATTGAATGGAGCAGAAAAGGATGAAATAAGAGAGAAGAAGATTTTCCTTTTTTCTTTACAAGAAAGAACTACTTCATTCGAACACGTCAAATTATTCGTCCTAATCTAAAGGCACTACTATATATGTTAATTAAGTCGCCTCACTTTTGGCCGAAAATGTTATCGGATCGACCAATCGTTCTCCGACATTACTAAATTCATGAAAAACAATACAATATGACTTTTCCAGGAAAATATTACTTAAAATATCAGAGAATGTTAAGCTTTTCTTCAGGCATACTGATTGCATTTTTATCAATATCGCAGCTGGTACTCGTGGTTAGTTGCAGTGATTTATTTGCTCGTGAATGTAGCCGGTAAGCACATATATGCGTACTTATTCTGCATAGTAACTATTTCAATATTTGTTACTCTTAAATCATGTCTTGCGTTTGAGCCCATGAAGGAAACATGATCCAACTAGTATTTCCAAAATCCAAATTGGACTTGAGGTATGATGTCCGAATGAGTTAGAAACTATTGAACTACTTTCCATGTTAGAGTTGGATTCGTAGTTTGAGTAGGCTTTCTAGTTTGAGTCGGCAAGTCACATAAGAACATATAAAAATGTAATTCTTATTACTCACTATAGCAAACAAGATTAGTGTTAGGGTTTTCTCTCTATAAGTCTTCTGAATGAGTTATTTGTGAGTGATTGTGAGATCACACTTATGGGTTTTACTTTAGATGTAACTAGAGTTACGAAACGCTTGAACAGTTGAGCGATTATAATCTCTATATTTTTTGGATTCATAGTGGATTTCTTTGCGATTAGCTCTCCTCATGGGTTAGTTACTTTGGTGTTTCTTGTTGATTTCTTTGCTAATTTCTTCTTCTCATATTAAATATGAATTAGAAGATCCATTAGCTTCCCCATTATTTTATAAGAGCGACTATCATAGAGCAAAAGATTTTTGGTAAAGCAACTCCGGTTTGAGTGCCAGTAAAGCGGATCACGCGGTCTTCTCGAGAACGGCAGTGACTTAGGTAGATAAACATTCTAGTACTAAAATGATCGATTCTTATTACGCCTAGAATTAAGCCTAATACGCATCGTGATATATCAATTAAAGGAAAAAAGAATTGAGTGAAACAGTGTTATTCTAATATAAGGAAAATTGCCATTAAGGATGAGCAAATCACTAGTGACACTGAAAATATTATTTTGGATCTTCTGTTACTACATTATAATTCACATGAACAGATTCTACAGCGAGTCTTCCTATTCGAAACCAGAAATAGGCATGTCAAACTGGTTTTGTCTAAGTGTCTGCAGAAAAGCAGTGACGTTTTTCCGCAATCAAAGTTCAACTTACCGAATAAAATCCCTATTAATCCTGATTAAGCTCGACTGTATCTCTCTTTCTTTATTGGCCTTTGACAATAAAGACTTCATTGTTGGAATCCATTTCTTTGTACAATTCTTGCAGGATGGCATGCGCACTTTTGGATATCTTTCATTCCACTTACTGTAAGTAGTGATAAAAACTCTCCTTTGAGTCATTATGTCTTGCAAATTCCAAATGAGTCTATTTTTGTATCTAATTAGGCATTCTCACTAATGCTGCGCAGCTTATGTACATTATCTACGTGAAATTGGAGATCATGGTAGTGCAACTCGCCCGACAAGTGGCCGAAAAGCATACACAAAACGAAAATGAGTAGCAAAAATAGTGCGGAGGGGTTGGTTTTTGAATTTTCAAAAGACGATTTCTGGTTCGGTAGGCCAAATTTGATCGGCAACCTGGTTCACACCCTGCTATTTTTGAACTCTTTGGAGCTTGCTTTCTTCTTCTTTATATTGGTGAGTATAAATGACTCAAAATGTCATTATCATTAGTAATGTTAAGCAAAGTTTCCAGCATACCGGGAAAATGCCAACTAATGCGCTATCACATCTCTATGCAGTTCCAATATGGTTTTCACTCCTGCATTATGGGAAAGGTTGGTTTTGTTGTCCCAAGAATAGTCATGGGGTAAGACCTATTGCTGATGTCAATTATATCATTGTTCTATAATCTGTGTGTTGTACATGATTAATGACCGGGGACTGACAATCAATTTGGCCTCTATGGCGTTTGTCGCACTCTCAGAGTATTCGTCCAGGTCTTGTGCATGTCCAGAATATTACCACTATACGCAATTATCAAATCCAGGGTTGTTGAACTTACGACCTATTATGCACTCAAGATTTGTTAGTTAGTTTTTTTCTCTCTTTGAGTTCAAATCTTGGGACTGAAGATGTCACATTCTTTTTATTTGACTCAAATGAAATTAAGGTGCATTTGAAGGAGAAGCAATCGGACAAACATAATATTGAGAAAATTAAGATGCTTTTGAAGGAGAACCAATTGGACGAACTTATAGAGGAGTGTCTTGATGATCTCGATGAAAAAAAAATACGGTTGAAGGAGAATGGAATGGACGAAGAGGAAGAAATGTGGATCGTGATTTCAAAGTGGATTGATAAAGGAAAGAAGCCAAGTTCAACAGAGGAGGCCACAAATATTGAATCGACCCGAACGGATTCGACAGAGGGATCTGTTGGAGTTGAGATAACAGAATCCGGTCACATGAATTCAACCGGAGACATTGAAGCACAAAATAGACAACCAAGCTTGCACCAACACTGAAAACAAATGAGATCGCGAAATACTATTAGGGCGAAATGTAACTACCACAGGTTGCATCTATCTTAGGCGAATGCAAGTAAATAAGGAACTCTCATTTCATATAATTGTCTAGTTACAATAGGCAAAAGAACTGCCACTCTGCAATAAGATGGGTCAGGTATGTTCCGAGAGTATGGACAGCTGAAGTTGGAGGGAAAAAACACTTTAAATTGGTTCCAGTAGTTGCATTGCTCGATCAATTTCAACATGAAGAAGACCCACCTATCTTTCTTGTCAATATCACATTTTCTACTTGGTCAATACGAAATATATAGATGTTACTTTCCAGAATGAAAGAGATTAACACAAGGGACCGTTTATGAGGCTCAACGACGATCCAGCTTCTGAAATTGGTCAATCCAAAACTGTAAATTCCTTCGTTCGTGCTCATTAAAAAGGTAAATAAGGCCATGATGACAAAGAAACAATCATATTTATGAGGAAATGTTTTGGGATTATCGCTTAAAAAGGTAAATAAGACCAATGACTCGATTGCGGAAGATTCACTAGATCTTACATGATCTTCTCCACTTCTGCAATTAAACTAAAACGTTGCAAGAAATGTTTCAGACTAGAAGCAGCCATCAAACACCAACATGCTTAAATTAGAGATACAGACGCATTCCCACAGCCAAAATCAAAACACAAAGAGCCTATCAAGAGACAACGGAACCTCAGCAGAATCCCAAAATGATTGTACATCTGAATTTTTTTTTAGGGTTAATACCACAAAAACCCCAAATTGGTACACCGGTGACAAATTTACTTCAAACTAATTTTTTAACCACAAAAAACCCCAAACTAGTACACCTATGACAAATTTATCCCAAACTAATTTTTTGACCACAAAAAACCCTAAACTGGTATACTTGTGATAAATTACGGTCACGTGGAATGAGAAAAAAATTAGTTAGCCTATCTCACACTTAGGATTCGAGGACAATTATCGAAAAAGTCCTAAACCTATTACAATTATGCCAATTCAGTTGTAAACCTTTTTTTTTTCCAATTCAGTCCTAAACCTTTTGCATTTGCAACAATTCAATCCATTTAGCAAATTTTGGCCGGTCGGCGCTGATGTAGACGTCGGCCGACGCCGGTCATTTGACAGACGCTGACATGACAATTTTTAATTTATTTTTTCCAAATTTATTTATTTATTTTCTTTTCTTTTGTCGCAACCCGCCCTCGCTCGCTCGCTCCGGAAGGAGGAAGGCGTCTACCCTGGATGCGCTAAGTCTAGGTCTATGACTTAACTTGGGCTCCCCCAAGCTCATACCATATCACGACTTGTGATTTAGGTTTTTAACCTGCAAGTGATTTTTATCTAGTAGTCGCCACTAATCAGTTGATGGTGGATCGATTAGACACCTAAGTAAAGCAGTGGGAGAATTGCCTTACTTCTTCGAACAAAAAATTAAATGATTTCGAGGACTTGATTACACTAGTTGAGTAACAAGTGCCCTTTCGGTACCTTTAATTCTGTTCATTTCAGAAAATATTTATCATGCATTTTGAATTGATTTTAGGATCTATTTTCCAACATGTGATGTAATCAAACGAGTGCACAAGCATTAATGATTAGCAGTCAAGATATATATGCAGCATAGGATTCTAATCCTAACTAGGAAAACGACATTCAACACATGACAATTTATGCAATTATATACTAATTAGAAATAATAGGCATAACAATAATACAACAGTAGTAAAATTAACACCCGAAATCCTACCGTATAGCCATATAGGCTTATCCGATTTAGACATGATTATTAATAATATAATTCACATAATTTAGAAAAATATTTAAAAAAATACTAATTTCTAAACTATTTCCTACTTAGAAAATTTTAAAAAAATAAATTATATATATTTTTATTTTTTAAAAATAATATAATATTAATATCAAAATAGACCGAGTTGGGTCGGGTTGGCAGATCCAGGTCGAGTCAGAATCGACCTAGGTCAACGGACTCGACCCAAACTCATTGACCCGGGTCTTGAACCGGATTAGGCCCAGCCTGGTGGAAAAGGACAAAATAGGGCCAGTTCTACAGGATCAAACCGGCCCTATTTGGCCTGCAGATCGGTCCGACCGGGTGTGCCAATTGGTTCAGGCCAAATCCCTGCCCTTTCAAAGCTTATACGATTTGGATCGGTTCGTATCTCGGTTCGATTTTTCGATTTGGTTCTGACACCCCTAGTTGATGGTTTCTTCACTTGTGATAGCTCTTTCCTCCCCCTCCATTTCTTTGACACTGCCATTGACGAGCTTGCTCTCTCTCTCTCTCTCTCTCTCTCTCTCTCTCTCTCTCTCTCTCTCTCTCTCTCTCTCTCTCTCTCTCTCTCTATTAAATGCTTTTGAATTGAGCCAGAAGAAGACAACTACCAACGAACTAAAACTCTCTCTCTCTCTCTCTCTCTCTCTCTCTCTGGCTTTCCCATTTGTGTCGTGGATGGTCTGTGCTCTATCTTTCTTCCCGTCTTCATCCTTTGTCGGATGTCCCTACTGTCTATTTGTCCCTCTCGGCTTTCCAGTGTCGCATAGTGACCAATTAGTCAATGTGAATTGGAGAATTCATTTAATTATTGAGGGAAGCAGAACTTTCATGCCATTTCTTAATCTCCCTTCCAACGTTTAATTCTGTTCCCTCTTAATTCGGAGACCTAATGACATCTCTCTCTCTCTCTCTCTCTCTCTCTCTCTCTCTCTCTCTCTCTTTGTGGCTTCTCCATTTGTGTCGTGGATGGTCTCTGCTCTATCTTTCTTCTCGGCTTCATCCTTTGTTGGATGTCCCTATTGTCTCTCTATCCCTCTCGGCTTTCCAGTGTCGCATAGTGACCAATTAGTCAATGTGAATTGGAGAATTCATTTAATTATTGAGGGAAGCAGAAATTTCATGCTATTTCCTAATCTCACCTGCCAACTTTTAATTCCGTTCCCTCTTAATTGGGAGACCTAATGACATCTCTCTCTCTCCCTAGCTTCTCCATTTGTGTCGTGGATGGTCTGTGCTCTATCTTTCTTCCCGTCTTCATCCTTTGTTGGATGTCCCTATTGTCTCTCTGTCCTTCTCGGCTTTCCAATGTCGCATAGTGACCAATTAGTCAATGTGAATTGGAGAATTCATTTAATTATTGGGGGAAGCATAACTTTCATGCCATTTCCTAATCTCAACTGCCAACTTTTAGTTCCGTTCCCTCTTAATTAGGAGACCTAATGACATCTCTCTGTCTCTCTCTCTCTCTGGCTTCTCCATTTGTGTCGTGGATGGCCTGTGCTCTATCTTTCTTCCTGTCTTCATCCTTTGTTGGATGTCCCTATTGTCTCTTTGTCCTTCTCGGCTTTCCAGTGTCGCATAGTGACCAATTAGTCAATGTGAATTGGAGAATTCATTTAATTATTGAGGGAAGCAGAACTTTCATGCTATTTCCTAATCTCACATGCCAACTTTTAATTCCGTTCCCTCTTAATTGGGAGACCTAATGACGTCTCTCTCTCTCTCTCTCTCTCTCTCTCTCTCTCTCTCTCTCTCTCTCTCTCTCTCTCTCTCTCCGGCTTCTCCATTTGTGTCGTGGATGGTCTGTGCTCTATCTTTCTTCCCGTCTTCATCCTTTGTTGGATGTCCCTATTGTCTCTATGTCCTTCTCGGCTTTCCAATGTCACACAGTGACCAATTAGTCAATGTGAATTGGAGAATTCATTTAATTATTGAGGGAAGCAGAACTTTCATACCATTTTCTAATCTCATCTGCCAACTTTTAATTCCGTTTCCTCTTAATTGGGAGACCTAATGACATCTCTCTCTCCCTAGCTTCTCCATTTGTGTCGTGGATGGTCTGTGCTCTATCTTTCTTCCCCTCTTCATCCTTTGTTGGATGTCCCTATTGTCTCTCTGTCCTTCTCGGCTTTCTAGTGTCGCATAGTGACCAATTAGTCAATGTGAATTAGAGAATTCATTTAATTATTGAGGGAAGCAGAACTTTCATGCCATTTCCTAATCTCACCTGTTAACTTTTAATTCCATTCCCTCTTAATTGGGAGACCTAATGACATCTCTCTCTCTCTGGCTTCTCCATTTTTGTCGTGGATGGTCTGTGGTCTATCTTTCTTCCTGTCTTCATCCTTTGTTGGATGTCCCTATTGCCTCTCTATCCCTCTTGGCTTTCCAGTGTCGCATAGTGACCAATTAGTCAATGTGAATTGGAGAATTCATTTAATTATTGGGGGAAGCATAACTTTCATGCCATTTCCTAATCTCACCTACCAACTTTTAATTCTGTCCCCTCTTAATTAGGAGACCTAATGACATCTCTCTCTCTCTCTGGCTTCTCCATTTGTGTTGTGGATGGTCTGTGCTCTATCTTTCTTCCCATCTTCATCCTTTGTTGGATGTCCCTATTGTCTCTCTGTCCTTCTCGGCTTTCCAGTGTCGCATAGTGACCAATTAGTCAATGTGAATTGGAGAATTCATTTAATTATTGAGGGAAGCAGAACTTTCATGCCCTTTCTTAATCTCCCTTCCAACATTTAATTCCGTTCCCTCTTATTTGGGAGACCTAATGACATCTCTCTCTCTCTCTCTCTCTCTCTCTCTCTCTCTCTCTCTCTCTCTCTGGCTTCTCCATTTGTGTCATGGATGGTCTGTGCTCTATCTTTCTTCTCGGCTTCATCCTTTGTTGGATGTCCCTATTGTCTCTCTATCCCTCCCGGCTTTCCAGTGTCGCATAGTGACCAATTAGTCAATGTGAACTGGAGAATTAATTTAATTATTGAGGGAAGCAGAACTTTCATGCTATTTCCCAATCTCACCTGCCAACTTTTAATTTCGTTCCCTCTTAATTGGGAGACCTAATGACGTCTCTCTCTCTCTCTCTCTCTCTCTCTCTCTCTCTCTCTCTCTCTCTCTCTCTCTCTCTCTCTCTCTCAGGCTTCTCCATTTGTGTCGTGGATGGTCTAT